ATTTAGCTCTCTCTTAATCTGTTCATAAATCTCTCCTTGTTGAACATCATCTAGCATCATGATCCTCTTCCTTCCTTTTTATCATCTCCCAAGAAACCTACCTTCGATCACCTCCTTAACCAGGTCATTCTCTCTCAACACATGCCCAATCCAGATTTTGTTTCACATTTTCCTCCCACCTGACGTTATCTTCTTCATTTTCATTCTTCCAGTCCAAATTATTTTCATAACTCTTCGTCAGATCCACATTTTAAAACTTTCAGTCCACGTCCCTCACGCATACGGTGCCACACTCCAGACGGTAACTCTTTATTATTCCGTTCTTCAATTTCTTCTCGAAGGTGTTTAATTAGTAGCTCCTAAAACCAAAATAAATAAATAAAATGAAAGAGCTTTTCACACAAACCAGCAATATAAACCCTTTATTAATGGGTAAAACACAAAAGCCGTTAAAACAATTGAATCCAAAAATACAAAATAAAAAGAAGAAAGTATTTCTAAAACTAAGGCATACAAGGCAATCTAAACACAAAATGAATCCCTTCCTACAAATATATACACGTGTGGATATGCCCCTTGAAAATGTAGATACATATACAATACACAAAATAAAACTCAATAATAATAATAATACTTAATAAAAGTAAAATAAAATTATAAAACAGGTGGGCTTTATAGGGTTTTTATATTGAAAATGGAATATGCAGTACGATACAAAATGTACCAAAAAGTAATCAAATGATATATATATATATATATAAACACACACATAAGTTTCCAAACAAACCGAAGCCTTTTATTTACTAAAGCCTCTACAGCAGGTCTTCTAATGCAGCAGTCGATTTGTAATGAGCCATGATGGCCTGACAGATGATATCTTTCTCCAGCTGCAAAGGAGGCTCCAATCACTTCACCAAAAGGTCTTCCTCCTGGTTGTAAAGCACCCAGGTCTTCATCCACCTAGCTGCGTACTCTTAGAAGCGGCACTCTAGATCCAGTATTTGTTGAAATGTGGAATTCTCTTTTGTCTCAGTGGCGGATATAGAAGGCAATTCCAAGATTTCTGACCACAGAGTTTGGATCCTGAACTACTTGAAGAGTAGCAGCACAGAAGTTGACATTATGGTAATCTCCACCAATGGTTGGATAGTAAAAGCCAGTGTCCCTGAAGTGGTAGATATTGATAGACCTTCCTGGTACTTGTGACATTTACTTGAAGACTTTAGCACTGGGAGGGATTTCTTAGGCTGAAGAAAATGGTGGCCATATTGTAGGTGTCAACAATATCTCTTAACAGAACAACTTCTGATGGAACACTCAGCCTTATGCTGTAAAATAATACTATCTTTAGAAAGTGCATTTCACAAACAGTACTTTGCATCATAATAAATGTTTTACTTGGTTATGATATAATGTTTGCAATTGTGCTGACTGGAGTATTTGGAAAAACACACGGTTTTACTGCACTATTATGGAAGGAGAATTTAGAGAAAGTTTCCAGTTCGGCAACTTTGAGGCTTATTCCTGACTAGCCAGCAATACAAAGACATTAGAATCAAGCCTTTCCCTCGCCTCAAGAGAGTCCGTGAATACAGATACATTGCTGGATGATGCTCTCTAGAGCCATCATCACTGACTGCTGGCCATCTATGGCTACCAAGCAGAGCCGCTGTTGATTAATTATTTACCTGCCACCCATCAGATGATGGCAACACCCGAAGTTACCTCATTACAGGTCAAGCCAGAGCATTAAAATTCATATTCACGATATTTCCATTTGAACCGATCAAAATATTAATTTTCTAAAGGCTAGCAAAAACAACAGGTCAAATTGCGTTTTCTTCCAAGTCTAGCATTAGTCTAGCTGCTACCCTTATCCCCTTCATTAAAATTCTCTCCCTAGCATTAATGAAGATAGCAGGCACACTGTTTTTTCAAATGATGCTTTACAAGCCAGTAATCAAAGTTGAATTCTTATCTCAAAGTCTTAACACCCAAACCAAAATCTTTACTTTCAGTCATACGTTGTTGTCTGTAACTGATTCATATTTGTTATTCAACACTTCTGAATGACCTTGCGTAAAGTTCCACACATATATCTTAACATTAAATATCGTCACCTCACTAGTAGCTGTAGAAAGATACAAGCTAGTACAGCTATGTCTCGATGGGACGCTCCCCCCCCCCCGGTGACTCAGCGGTATGCCTGCGGATTTACAGCGCTAGAAACCGGGTTTTGATAACTGTGGTGTGCAGAGCACAGATGGCACATTGTGTAGCTTTGTGCTTAATTTCAAACCAACTCGATGGGAATGGTACCATAATGTGTTGCCATCTATGAACCATTAAACTAAATATGTAATCATCACCAGAATTCAGCCTAACTAAGACTTTTCATCTAAAATTGTTTCAGCCAAGATTAATCATACTGCTGTCACTAAAGTCATATAGCTCGTCAACACCAGTAGTGGAACCATTAAGATACTGCATCACTGTATGAGAGTCAATACATTCACTTCAGTTGGGGTTATAGAAAAGTAAATACAAGTAAATCCAGCGAAACAAGAAATATTTCTCTCAAATTCACAACAACCCAATTTACATTGTGTGCTCAGAAAGAACACTGCTCCCTCGCTGAGCGTGGAGGAGTTAATAACACTTAAGTGTATTGGGGAGAGTATAGCAAGTATCA